TCAAAAATAATCTTCTTGATTTTACTTTTCGTGTGGTGAGGATGATTTGCATTTTTAACAATCTGAGGAACGGATGAGGATATGCTCAGTAAAACTTTTTCGTTTCTTTAAATTCTTTACGATTACAAAAAAGAAACTTTTTGAAAAAGCAGCCCTTATTTCTTATTAATTATTCAAACTCGCTTTTGGTATAGATTTTTTCATTCTAATTGGATCGTAAAAGGGTCGGCCAGATGAATGGGTGAATTGGGAATAAGGAGGAAGAGAAAGACAAACTTTTTCCTTTTCTTGTGATAATTTCGTGTGGTAAAAGAAAATATACACTGATTAAATTAATTATACTTGAAAGATAAGAAGCTCTGTAAGATGATACAAGATATAAAAAGTGAAATAGCAAGAAGATATCGACTCATCGCACACATGCCACGCTCAAATTTTCGCTTTTTCTTATTATTCTACCTCATCATCATCATCATCCAACATTCGCAGTCGTCGTTGTTTTTTTCTGCTGCTTATTTCTTAGGAATGCGACGTCATTTTCATTTTTAGTGCCTGTGTTTCTTCGGTAATCTTCATATAATATACATTTTTTATTTCCCAAACGATGTCTGTTAATGCCGTTCATTCGTTTATTATGTGTGCGAATACATTCATGCATATATGAGAAGCGAAAATATATATTAAACTATAAATATGAAATTGAATCATCCTTGAGAAAGCTCTTTTTCTTCTACATTTCCCATATTTTAATTCATTTTTATATTTAATTTTGAGAATAACATTCAAACAATACAGGCAAAGCTTTTTTATCAAATTTACGTCATGCGTTTTATTTCCGAGACATATCTCATGTGAGTCTGATGATGATAAAAATTACTTCAATTACATTACAGCTTGAGTACTTAAACGTCCGTTGACGATACTTTGTTTTTACACATTAATGTACATAAGAATGAGCATCAATTGCGGTAAGTTATTGACAAAATTTATGTGCATTTATAAAAAAATGTTGTAGAAATTGACTCGAATAATAATTTCATAGCCTTTTGTCTTTCGAAAGTTTGCCAGTCGAGTGAGTTTTTTGTGGTTTTGCAAAAGAGGCAAAACATTACTGGAGAGACAATTGAGGAATTAAACGGAATCACACGCAGGTAGAAGCTACAAGAAATGTGTATATATTTTTTCTTCTATCGATGACCCAGTAAAGAGTCACAACAACAATTTTCAAGGTCTATACATACGTGTGTCTATTGACTTCGAGCAGAAACGATCTATTCTGTGTTTTTTTTGTTAAGGAAATATAAGAGCTATAATATTAGCAGCAGGCAGGCATAATGTGTATGTAGATCTACATAAATGTGCTCATAAATCAGCTCATGTTAAATATAATTATCAAAGACATGCATACATATGTTCCACAAACTTTAATATTAGATTGAATACGTGACAGTCAGTAAGCATATAATAATATTTTAACAGGAAATTAGATTATAGCTTGAAGTTGTAAATGTAAAGTAGATTTGTGCGATTTTTTTAAACTATTGTAAACTTTATTCAACGAGCAGCAGCAGCAGCCAGCAAATTCCAAATCAAAAACTTGTTCTTAAGTCTTTCATTAAGCAAAAAAAAGTGGTAAGGAGAGAAAAAAGAAATCATTTGAAGTTGAAGTTACACAATTGCATATTTCTTTGCATACGCTTAGTGCAATTTGCATTATTCTTTATTCTGCCAGCTTGCAAGTTACCTTGCCTGCCTGCCTGCTTTATGAGCACCCATTCAACGTGGGCACCAAATGCTTTCGCAACAAAAACACATTTTTTTTCTCGTTACTCGTTCCTCTTTCTTGACTCGTACAATGTTGACTCACCAGGTGAGTTGAGATGACATTTTAGAAAAAAAATAAGCAATAAAATTAAAAATTCATCGATCGATTCAAGTTATAATATTTAAGTGGTAAAAAATAATCCCCAAACGATTCGATCGTCCAATTCATTCAAGTTTTTTTTTTGCTAATATATATTTTTTATAGTGAACAAGCAAGATACAACAAAAAACCGCAAAACGATCGTTCGCATCATTTTCAATTTAAATGGAAAAAGAGATGTGAGGCAATCAGAAAGGAACAACAAAAAAAAAATCTTGCGTTTGTTACTTATTGCGATCACATCTTGTTTGTCAAGTGTATACAAACATATATACATATTTAGTTGTTTCTTTTTTGGGGGAGATAGACGGACACAAAGTATAAGCGCGACTTTTGGTCCAACGCAACAAACGATATTTTAATCGATTTTTTTTCCTTCAGTCAGTTCCAAAACATTTTAAAATAAAACGAGTTTTCATTTCTCTCTTGCCGTTTTCCTTCTTTTGATGTTTTCCAACAAAAACAGCTCGTCGTCGACGACGACGTTGTCGTTATCGTTTTCTTCTTATTGATTGTGTCGAACCTTTAAAGACAATAACACCATGGACTTAAAGAGCTACATGGCAAGATATGAAATGAATGAGTTAAGGGCAATTCTACGAAAAGGTTTCATGAAAATAATCCGTGTCAATTGCATGAAATTTTTTAATTATTTTATTTCACTTGTGCATAGTTTTTCAAAATTCTAATTCTCATTTCCTTTTCTATTGGTTAAACTGTGAATTATGATTACATCTGCACTCAAATTACTTAGCTATGGCTTGAGAAATTCATGGGTTTAATTTTAATATTTGGTAGTTTTTTTGGAATTGTCTCCAAATTACTCTGTTTCACTTATGAAATTTTTCGTAGAATCCAAATTGCAGCTTAATTAAGGCTTTCACAAATATGATTTTGACATTATTTTGAAGCTGTTACTTTAAGCTATAACTTTGTATACTTAGTATTCCTGGAAATTTTATTACCTTAAAGATATTAATGAAAACATTTTGACAGTTTGGGCGAAAAAATTCATGTGAAACAGAGTAATTTTTCGTAGAATGTAAATAATTCTTTAATTAACCATTTTTAATATGTTTTAGTGAGAACAATATGTAGATCTCGGTAAAATCTACTATTAAATACATGAAACATGGGGAGTAATGCAACTGATAATGAGAAATATAGATTTGGAGACAAATTTGTAGAAAAAATCATTCGTAGAATCGCCCTTAAATAAGAAAGAGGAAAAGAAACACACAAAAAAAGAAAGAAGTTCACGAGTTGTTGCTGTTCAGTTATGGCAGCTTTACTCTTTTTTTTTCTCATTTTTTACTCATCGTACACAATATAAAGAGCAAAAACATATTTCGGGATGCTATGAAGAGCAAAAATAAAGAATTGGACAATGAACAACAGCGATGGTGCCACGATCTTATTAATTTGTGCCTTCGAGAAATGGAGAATTCTCTTGAAAGGAACACATAAAAGATGAAAGCAAAAATGAAAAATAATAATAAAGAGCAGTACTCACTTCAAAACAAAACAAAAAGGAATAAGCAAGAGAAGGAAAAACAAGTTTTCGCTTGGTATTTTCCATTGCGACGATATTTTGATTTCAGGCGTTTAATGATTTTATAACAAGAACGATAAAAATGTGTATACATTGTACAAATAAGAAAAATTTTAGATACCGAAAGCATGGAGACTCAGGATAAACTTCCAAATATCTTAAAACCCCACAAAAAATTAGATAAATTATTCTAAGATTTAAAGAGTATTTTGTTACTTTAATAGAGGACTGCTGAGTGTCTACACCTCTTATACTCAAAAGTTGATCATTTTTCCTTAGCAATGGGCAATAATAATGGACATCGGGGGAATTGAAAGGCAATGATGCTTCAATTCGTAAGAAATTTAAGAAGAACGTGTATTATGTACGTAAGAGAAGCTCCACGAGTATGGATGGAAGAAGGAAGGGAAGAAAAAAAAACGAAATAATAAGAAGAAACCACCTGTTTTGGATTTAACGTTATTGTTGTTATTATTATTTTCATTTTACTGTTCTTAAGCTGACGACGACGATGTTGATGGTGCTCTCCATTCTCTTTCTTGACGTCGCTTGCTTTTTAAAGCATTTCTAAGAAAAAAACGCTTAAATCATACTATGAGTAAGTAAAATGACGTTTCAGAAATCTTTTCTCTTCTCTCTTATAACTGACGACTCATGTCAATGATTGGGGAACACTCGACACGATTGTGTACAAAACTATTAATTCTTTATATACACAAATATAACCATAATTGAGTAATTAAGCTGAATATAAAAGAAATGAAAAATTATTGCTAACGTATACATAATTCACATTCATTTCAATTAGCACGCCAGACATTTTTATAATTCAATTACATTTGCTATTGCACTTTAATTGAAGCGCAAAATCGTAATGAAAAAATATTTGCTTCCTCTTTAACTCGTCTAATAGACTGATGGATGGTTGCATATTATGTAAAATTAAAATCATTTTATCAGTATGAGTAATTTTTTTCTACAAAGTCAAGATAAGAAACGACTTTAGAATTGATAGTCAATTAACGTGAATTTTTTATACGTCGTTTCATATTCGCGACTCATCGTTCATCCGACACATTTGAAGTATTAAGTATGCACGAAAACAAGTTTACAACAACAATCAAGACTATGGCAGAATTTTTTTTTCTTTCTTTATATATGTAGCAACAGCAGCTAAATGTATTATGTATGTGTTGGTATAACTCTATTCATTCACGTATACACCGAGTGAGAAAGCAAAGCAGGCAAGCAATTTACCAATTGTTTTTCCATTGGAATTCCTCTTTTTTACGTAAGTTCGTATATTTCTTTTTTTTTCATTTCATGTATGTATGTATGTATGTATATAGCTTTATGCATATCTATATAAACTATATGATTTTTTTATTTATATTTTCTTGAATTATTTGTCATAACACTGACGTCATTATTTTTCGGTAGTTGAATTTGAGGGTGAATCCCAAGAAATGCATAAATTGTTTTATTTTTAGAAAATTGTGTACACATGTATAGTGTTATACTCACTTGCTTTCCTTCGTGCCATGATATAAAATTTTCTCGATATACGATGATGATGATTGATTGAATTGAATAAACCCTTAGTTTTATTTCTCTTTTATATGTTTGTTTGTTTTTAATAATAATAATAATAATATGTATTCCTTTAATTAAAAGATTACACAATCAATAGAAATTAAAATTGTAGCATATATCAAAATATATTGATAAACTTTTTCATTTGAATACATTAAATTGATTTTAGCACAGGTCTCCTCTCAGACACGTTATTTATACTTTTTTTTTTACTCTTGACAGTTTAAAAAATCAAATTTCTTTTAATATGCTGGGTGCAAATAACTAGGTTTAATTTAATATTTTTAATATTTTTTTTTTAAAATCACTTATTAATTTGACACAAATTGGAATCACTTAAACTAGTTATATTTTTCGGCTATCATACAATTTTTCCATCGTCTATTCTCGACTGTCGCGCAAAACCGCGAAAATAAAGAAATTTTAACTATATCAAACTAATGAATTTCAATAATATAACATGCACTTCATAGCTGAACTTCTGAATACAAACTGATTGAAAATCACAAAGGAAATATGAAAATATCCCATGATGAAAATAATGAGAGAGGGTCGGTAAGTTACTCTCTTGCTCTCAATGAGAGAAGGTTGGTAGACATTCAAATGAGAATTGTTTATGTTTTTTTTTAAGTCTGAGAGAATTGCGAGATTCCCATTCAACCATACGAATATTTTTCAAATCTTGTCACATTTTTCCAGAATTATGGATTATTTTTATACAATTTCATCTTTGAAATGCTAGTAATTAAATATTTATGGATTCTTTGTAAAAACAAATTGATTAGCGATTAGCAGTCATAAATTGATGTCTGCTTAATTGTTGAATTGAATCGATCGGAATAATTTTTATTTTTTATTCTAATTAATTCTCACTTCCTGGATTGGGCAAGTGACGAATAATTTAGGGTTATATAATCAATTATATATGATGTCATTAGTCAATAGTTCTACTTAATTTAATTATTTAAATCATTGCTTTTACCAGTTCAGAGAAAGGATTTATTGAACCCTTGGATTTATTTGACTTTCTATCAAATTTAATATCTGATAATTTTTAATCTGCTTTAAAATGAATGTTTGATCCTCTAAAGATCGAACAATTTTATAAGGAATACAATTTGATGTGTTCAAGATTTAAATAGCTTTTCGATTCAATAGAAATTCCTATTTTGAAAGCAATGAATGAAGCATCTCATGTAATAAAATAATTGCCTCTATCAAAATAAATCATAAATATTATCCTATAGTTTTCAAAAATAAACAAACTTACAAAGTAAGTATCGCAAAGTTCAAAAATCCTATAGATAACTGTTAATTGAAAATTAAAAAAATGTAGGGTTTTCTTGATGTGTAAAATTGTTATACTGGTCATATCCATGTTTGTTGCGCATCCTTTATTTATTGAATTTTATTAAATATATTTAAAATTCTTCATTGATCACGTGTGAATGATACTTGTGAAATCCTAACGTTTAGCTTAGAAAAATTATAGCAAAAGCTATTTTCTGTATGAACTTTGCTATAAAAACTTTGAATCCAAAATATCCGTTTGATTTTAAAATAATGAGCTTTGACTAGAAAATGTGTTGCAACGAATGAATTTTTTTAAAAAATGAAATGTCACAAAATAAACGTCAAAGACACAGGAGTGTTCAAAAAAGCATCAGATATAAGAGAGTTTAGTACTTGCGGATACGACTGTTGTGTAAAATTTCTTTGAGAAACGAAAAAAAGTTTGAGGGATTATAAAATTTGTAAAAATTAATGAAGAGTACGAAAGTTAATTATAATTATGAAACGAAGGACAGAAGCAGCTGGAAAATTGAGGAGAACAATTAAAAGGAATAATGGCTTAAATGGAAATGGGTAAATTGAAAATTTTCTTAAACCCGGACAAAATTTTATAGAAAATTGCTTCAAGCCAATTTCCAAAATGTCTCACGAAAAACTAAAATAGATTACAACCAAAAATCCAAAACTGGATACCGCAAAATTGATTAAAAAGCCTTGCAAAATGGACTTGATTAATGTGTTTACAATCATTATAGATATAAATAATTATTTACAAAGTGATAATTGGGAAATTGCATAATATAAGCGAGAAAATATTGTTTATTTATTTCTATAAATGAAAAGTAAGTGAACAATTGGTTGATATTATTGTTATCAACAGTTGTTCATTTTCTCGTCATCAACTACATGGAATCCGCTAAGATAACACATTGATATTTATTATTTAATTTTTTTCTTACTGCAAAAATGACATTAAATGTGCTCAAATTCATTTCTCTTTTCTTGACTTCTTTTTATCCCCCACAATGCAGGTCTACAGCATTCTTCTTCTACTTAAAAATTATCCTCATTTGGGCTTCAGTGATTTTTTGTGATTACATGTCGGAATTAAGGTGAGAGAATGTCTTCATTTTCGCTTATTGTCTTCTCGCGAGAAAGCAAGCAAGTAAGCACTTGACTAATAAACTTATTATTTCTTTCATTCTTCAAACTTTATTAGAGTTGAATACCTCTGGCCTTTTTGGCTACTTTTGCGCTCAGTTTATGATTCATACAAATACAAAGGACTGGTAATAATAAAATTTACTTATTGTCATTTAATATTAAATCTTAATAGCTAATATTAAGCATCATTAACTAATATGGTTCTTTTTCTGTCTGCATCGTATGTATTTTAGGCATTTTCGTTTCTTTTTATTTGCATATGTATCACAAGTGATTTGATATGTTTATTTCTTATTCCCATCCAATGGATATTTTTTGTTGCATCGACATATGTAATGATACAATTTGTATGGATACATACCGATAAAATATGTCTACCTACGATCATTTTATGGTTAATTTTCGTATGGATGGAAGCAAAAATTCGATGGAAGGACAATCGAAATATCCCTCATTTAGACTTGTGTCGTCCGTTTGCTGCACATTGTATTGGATATCCTGTTGTAACACTTGGTTTTGGATTTAAAAGCTACATAGGCTATCGAATACGACAGAGGAAACAGAAGGAAGTGTCGAAAGAAAATGAATTTTATATGCAACTTCTTCAACAAGCATTACCGCAGGAAGAGGTTGAGAAGAGTGAAGAGCAAACCGACAGTACAGATACATCAAATATTTCTACAAATACGGCAACATCTCCCAATAATAATGTTGCAGCTTCTTGTAAAAATACTCAAAACCATCACAATAATCATCAAAATCATCACAGTCATAATAGTAGTAAGGTGAATTCAAATGGCTCAATAAATAACAGCCATTGTGAGATGAATGGCAGTGTAAATAATTCAAAGCAGCAGAATGTTCGAAAAAATACAGAGAAAGAGAAAGAAAATGGTTGTATACAACATTTAGACAACAATCATCAGCATAATCAAGAAAGCATACCGAATAATGCAATTTTAAGTAACCACAGCAAAAATAATAGCAAGACAGCCAATCATTTAAATTTCAACAATTTACAAAGTGTAAAGAATACAAACACGACTTCATATCAACAGATACAGAATGGTATTACAAAAGAACTGAATGTTCCAGCCAAGTGCTCTCCATATAAGAATAAAGATGATCACAATACATATATTGCGTCAAATAATAAGAAAGAGTATGAAAAGGAGAAAATTATTAAGGATACAAATTATGATGAGACAATTACGACAAGTAATAATGAAATTCCACCTAGTCAAAAACGAAAGGATAAACAGCAGCAGCAACAGCAAAAAGATAATCAGCAGTATCATCAACAACATCAGCAGAATGCTTCAAATAATAATCATAATAATAATAATAGTACTAGTAATTGTAATAATCAACTTAATAATGAGAAAAATAAGGTCTGCGAGCATTGTCAACGACTTGAACAGGATTCGAAACGACTTAAATCTGAACTTCAGAGCCTCAAATCATTAGAACAGGAAGTGAGACAAAAGTATGAGAATGTTAAAGGATGCTTACAAACCAAGACGAAGGAAACCGAGGATATACAGAAACAGTAAGTAACATATACTCTCTGAGAGATGCAGTTTTGTAATAAACGTTATTTCATTACTTCCAGATACCTAGATGTACAAGCTCAAGAACGACGTACTCGTCAGCATTTCGAAGCACAATTAAATCAAGAGAAAAGACTTCGGAAGCATGCTGAAGAAAAGGCAAACATGATTAGATGCCCCGACTCGTGCAAGATGAAGAAAATGCATTTGGAGAGTGAGAATAACAAGCTAAGACGTGAATACATGCTTTTGGACGAAGTTAAAAATAATTTTGAGAAACAGAATCGCTTATATGAGCAAGAGGTAAGTGCAATTTTCTTATTTAAATGAAATCAATTCCATTTTTGAAATCCCCAATTCAAATTTGGGGCCGTTCACTTATTACGTTACGCAAAAACCGACTTTTTTCACCCCCACCCCCCCCCCCCCCTTGTTACAACTCACAACCCCCCCCCCCCGAACGTTCATAATTCAAATTTTTATCGTGAACTTTTTTTTCTTTCTTCTTGACACCCCCCCCCCCCCCCCCCTATGTTACAATTTTTCAAACCCCCCCTCCCCCCTAAAATGCGAACGTAATAAGTGAACGGCCCCTGTTCTGAAAAGTTAAGAATCATTCCTTGAATAAGATTGAAAAATTTAAAACTTATTCGATTCAAATTTCGTAAAAAAAATAATACAGGAAATCGCCATGACATTGCCCCATTTGCATTAGCCAATAAATCTTATTAATGTCCGTTGACGTGAATAATTAATTGCATGCCTGTTTTGCAAAAAATGGGCCAGAAAATTATGATTAAATTTCAATTGATATTTTTATTTCTCCCACGACATTTTAGTTGCGAAAGTATGAGGTTGAATTTAGGAATCGTGATCAGAATCATAATGTTGCGCTTCAGAATGCTTTGATTATAATGCAGGAGAAAAATGCAACACTTGAAAAGAATTTGTCTGCAGAAACGAGAATTAAACTCGATTTGTTTTCGGCTTTAGGCGAGGCACGTCGACAATTGGAAATCAAAGATAGTAAGTTGTTAAACAATAATTCAATACTCTGTTTATGATATATTGACATATGTTTCATGTTTACACTAGACTGCTTGCGTAATAAGGACAAACAATTAGAAGATTTAGAGGCAAAAACTGTTCAAATCTTAGCAATTATGCCATCTTTAAACGATACTCATTTTCAAATGAACTCTTTAGCCATGACTGCATCTTCTAGTATGGAACAACCCGATAGTTTTGCTAAAAATCCTCAGCTTAACGCTGGTTAAGCATGATGACTAATGGATCTTATTCAGGCTGCGCTTTTCATGATGATGATGATGATGATATTTGTTTTATTATTTTAGTTTCTTGAATAAAATAACTTATCGACTTTTTTGAATGTACCATGAAAGAAAGAAAAGGAAGAGAACTTGATGGGTTTTTTTTAATTTTCTGAAAACCTTAGTTCCAGTTTTGGCTTTTTAATCAAATCCAAGATTTTATTTTTTCTTTTTGTTTCTAAAAAATCATTTATAAACTAATGAGGCACGACTTGAGGTTCCACTTTTTGGTTAATCAGAGAGATTCTGTTGCTTCTAAAAGATAATGCTAAAATTAAATAGGACTCATGCTGCTCTTCTCTTCTTCTGTTAAATCTGGATGCCAGACGTCAACTGCAACGGAAAGGTTCTTTTATTTTTTTAAATGTTCTACGAATTTAAATTAATATTTTACCAATAAGCACTAATCGAAGACTTGTTCCTTTCTGCCAAACTTCGTGTTCATAGCTGTCATCGAAAATCAGCCATTCACCTTCTTTCCAAGATCTTGTTTCATTTGCTACTCTAATGAAAGTATTTTCAGGAACTTTTAAACCTAAATGTGCTCGAATTCGACAATTTGTTGGTCCACAGTGGCTGTGAACGTGAGTATTTGGATGCAAAACACTAAATTTTACTTGGCCTCGTTTGCACGATGAAGCAGCTTTGAAATTATTAATTAATTGACATGTAATTGGAGCCATATGACAATTCTTTGTCTTGGAGCCGCGAGCGTATAACTCAAACTGCTTCCAGTCTCCAGTATCTTTGAGATTCTCCTGTTCATTCATAAATAGTCCATCTTGTGAGAGTAATTTTAATCCTTCGTCTCTAATGACTTGCCAATATTTATAAATCTCTGTAAATTGATCTTTGTAAGTTGTATCGAGTTTTGTCCAAAATGGCTTTGATTTCAGTCTATTAACATTGTAAAGTGATCTTTGATATTCAGATAAGAAAAGGCCGATTTTTGCACCCTTCCTGTAAACCTAAATTTTACAAATAGAAATCTATAGTCAGACAAATATAATTTAAAAGAAAAAAAAACTTACTTCTTGAGCTTCTTGGTTTCGACCAAGTCGTTGTAGGGCATCGCCTAAATTAAAGTAAAAGCGACCGTCTTGAGTTCCTTCATCATTTGTTTCGATACCTTCCCTTAAATATAATACAGCATTCTCAAAATCTTGATCTAAATTCTTAAGTACGAAACCGTAATGGACGAGAGCAAATCCATTGTATCGCCACTGTGATAATACTTCATGTAAGACCAGCTTTGCTGCTGAAAGACTGCAAATACAATTAGATAAATTTATAAAACTAGACATTGTCTTCTTACCGATTTCCCAGTAGAAACGTGACAGCCAACTGATTTCTAAACGATGGCTCGTCTGCAAATCGTCTTATTAATTTATAATGAATGTCAACAGCTGACTTAAGTCGTCCCAAAAATCTCATTCGATTAATACATCTCTCTGCTACTTGCTTGAAGATTGTATCATTAAGTTTATCTCCATACTGCTCGATTAAAGTCTTGTACATTCCAATAGCCTCATTTAGAATCTTATTGCTTTTCTCGGTCTCTGAAGATTTATCCATTTCCTTTGCTTTATCGTAAAGTTCTTTAACGGCTGGATTCTTTATTGAGTCATATGACATGAGCGATGTTGAAGTCGTTAGTGGATATTTTAGTAAGGGGAAATCCAAAAGCGTATAAAATTGAATAGAAAATCATTTGTTAGTAATTGACACACAGCACGAAAAAGCTCAACAATTTAAGAAGTAATCGAAACATTAAGTTTTGTGGGTCTAAGCAAAATGTTAGGATTAGTTCTTGACATAGGTAATAATAGCACAACACTCAAACAATTGATAACAAAAAACTTAAAATAAATAAAAACAATGCAATATAATTAAGGATTTTAAGGGTTTAAGGATGATATAGGGGAATTAGAGTTGAAAACTTTAATAATTCTAAAAGAATTTAACGGAATGAGAATTTAAAAATTGAGTGTTGCTGTTCCTGAATTTTAAAATGAGATTGTACCTCTTCTAAAGCTTGTTGTCTCAACAGCTCTTCCATATAGCTACTTTGAGCTCCTCCACCTTCTGGAATTTCTGTTTGTCAAGAAAAATACAATGAAATTGTTAATTACAATGTTAGTCACAATGAATTATTAATTATGTACAAATTAAACATTTGCAAGAAAACGGAATCTGAATAAATTAATGAATTCAACAAAAAGTAATGAATGAATAAAACATTTACTTGTCCAAGAGCCATCGTCATTCTCCTCTTCGTTTGATTTATCACTATTACTAATTTTACCATACTTTGCTTCAAGACGGTTCAATAAATCGGAATCGTCTATGTCTGACAAATCTTCATCACTTTGCTCGTAGTCTAGATCGTCTTCATCCATTAACTCGTCTCCTGTTTGACGAATCAATTTTATTTCATTGACATTCTTTTTGTCTTGTGATTCGGATTGGAAAAAGTTCGTAACTTATCACCAGTTGCTATTTTCAGCTTCTGACATCCAATTTCAAAAGAAACTAAATCAATTATACTTTTTGAAATCTCTGTGAAATTTACATGCATTCCTTATCATCGCTTGCATAAAATATAAATGCTCTTTTTCAAATCCGAACCATTTTTCTATGCCAAAAATATTGTGATTTACCAGACATTTCCTCTTCCTCCTCTTCTTCTTCTCCCATTTCGTCATCCTCGATGTCTATATCAGGTTCGTAATTTTCTGCTGTTTGTATTTCTTCAGTTTGCTCAATAATTTCACTTTTTGGCGTTGCTTGAACATTTGATGTTTCAGGCATTGCTAAAATTCTTTCTTCTATTTCATTTTCTACTTCTTTTTCAACATCCTTTGGCTCATCAAATGTCACTTTTCTATTCGATTCATCCATATACTCCGATTGTGGCTTGTACATGTTTTGGAATTCCTCGAAAGTTTGTGGAACACGAGACTTGATGTCTGCTTCAAATTCATCAATAATTTCTTCGCTATATTCTTCTGTTTCTCCCAATTCATCCTCATCAATATCAGATTCTGTGAATTGCTCTTCGTCATCATTTTGCACAAAATTTGGTGTTGATATCATCATTACTTTAAAATTTATTACAATAAAGTTGGTTAACGTTGGAACGTCAATAAAATCAGTGATATCCACCAAATTATTTTAAGGTAAGAGTTTTTTTGAATTGTTGAATGACATGAATATCACTGAGTATGTCAGAAACACAGGAGAATTGCGCTTTTCTGCTCAATTGATCTGTATATTTGAGTATATCATAGTAAAGTCAATTTAAGACATGTATTTAATTTATATTTTTAAAAGTTCAAATCTAGCAAATGTTCCAAAGTAATTCAAATTGTGTTTTTGATCTATAGTGAACAGCTAGAAGTAGCATTGCTAGAATGACAACCTACAATTTTTAAAATATCCATAATATCACTAAAGGATAGTTTTAGATTTCAGTATTAACGATTTTTATAAGTAAAGGAGCTTCTTATTTCATCTGCTCAACAGTAAGTAAATTCTCTAAATCAATGATAGCAGAAAGGCACAATTATAATTAATTTATATAATTTATGAACCTTCAATAATTTCCTCATTGTCAATATCATCACCAACAAGTTGTTCCTCAGAATTAGACAGCATCGTGAATCGTCTTTTACTGAGAGCATTTTCATTTTCTTTGGCAATTAATTCTGAATCGACTGTATCTGTATCTGAACTATCTTAAAAATTGTTCAAAAATTAATGTGTTTAAAAAAACAATATACTTTATATATGCAAACAAGTAAGAAGCATGAAATATGAGATTGATATCGTTAGTGCAGTTTTGCTAAGTATAAAAAAATGTTGAAAGTGCAATTTCATGCTCATGAAATAATAATCAATTCTTTTTGATTAATAAATTTATTTCTTGCTTCATCGCTTTTAAATCATTAGTGAATAACAAAATGAAATAAGAAACGTTTTAATTATGCAAGAGATAGTCACAGCGTGGACAACAACAAAAATTTATGTTTAATGTCATGAAAAGATAAAGATAAAAAAAAGTCACAACAACTAAAGTTTAAAAACTCACTAGTTGCTGAAATCTTCTTAATTATTATTTGATGAGCAACTATAGCAAGAAGAACACCGACCCCGAGTTTTACCATGACTGTGGGATGATAGAAAATTTTTTACATTGTTTTAATTTACATTTTGCACTTTCATTTCTTTTTAAAATATAAAGCAATTAATTTTCATACAAATTGTGATTCCGTTTTCTTCATCAAAGCTATAATTTACTTAATATCTTTTGTTCATTTGATACTTACGCGACGATGACCCTTCTTCTTCATTCTCGTCTTGATCTTGTTGTTGATTTTGCTCTTGCTCGCTTTCTTCTGCCAATTTTTGAAGTAAAATTTCTTCACCAGCATCGTTGTCTACAACATTCTCGAAAATATCTTTGCTGTCTGCAATTCCCTCGTCATCGTCATCTCCCTGTGATCAGAAATATATAACTTAATAACTTGAATTGACATGACAGATAATTGTAAGCATTATTGGGTTATACCTTAGAAATTTCTCTCTTATTTAAAATTGCTTTATTAGTTTTTAATCTATCTTTTCCAAGCATATCAGCGATTTCATTGTAAGTATCATACAATTCATCAACCTTCCGTGAAAGGCGATGTCTGTTAATTTTCTTCTGTTAATAATTTTCAATCAGAAAAGCGTTTTGTTAGGGAAAAATGTAGCACACATGTTAAAATATGTTTATGAATGTCGGCAGTTTAAAAATACTAGCATGGGGTTTTTCACAAATGATCTTTCAAATGATAGACGTCATAAGTAAATGACCCTTAAGCTGACAATTTTATAGCAAATCATTAAAAAAAAAATCACCTCTTCATCAAAAGGAGCACTATCTTCGAACAAATTTGGCACTTCCGGCTCATTATTATCCTCTAAGCCATCATTGTCATCAGTTTCTTCAGGCTCATTATCATTTTGATCGTTATTGTCATCATCGTTTTCTTGACTTGCATTGTCATTGTCTTCCTGACTTTCATTGTCATTGTTATTAATCTCTGCATTTAGTTCCTGTGAGTTTTCTTCGTCATCATTTTCATTATTAGATACATCTTTCTCTTCTGGATATGGATCATTATCATTAATTTCTGTTTGTTCTCCATCATGATGCGATTCTTCTGTTAATTGGGTATTGACTTAGGGGCTGTTCACTTATTACGTAACGCGAAAAAATGACTTCTTAGACCCCCCCCCCCCCCCTCGTAACAAAATTTGTATGAAAAAAAAATTTTCCTTGTTTGAATCGTAACAAAATCTTAGACCCGTAATAACGTAATAAGTGAATGGCCCCTTAAAATCCAGAACAATTAAATAGTTCAAGTTTATTTACCTGTCGCGTGGTCATTATCATCGTGATCTTCATCTGGTGCTGAAAAATGTGGTTCCTCGTGATGATCATCTTGTCTATTTTCGTCAACCCAGCCTTGCAAATATTCTGAAAATCTTGATTCCGATAGCGGCGTATCCACTACGAAATCCAAAAATCAATTAATAAACTTATCAAATCATTATTAAGAAATAAAAATATTTTTACCATCGGATCCACCACGATTTTCCAAGACAATTAAAGTTACAAGACCTAATAGAATAGCCATTAATGTAAAGAAAATGACTTTAGCACAAATACCGGCTGCTCCATGATGATCACTTTCATTAATATGCATTTGAACAGACTTTTTCTCAGTCTCATTGAATTTGCTTGTGTCAATGCCGGGCAATGGTGCTTCATCTTCTTTTTTTTAAAAAATAGAGATGGAATATGTATTAGAAAGATAATATGTATTCTAGACAGAGAGGAAAGAGAGTATTGTTTATCAGCGAGCAGCATGCATTTGTGGGATTGATAATGATATTGGAAGGGAAATAAGATGTGTGTGCATATCAAACCTTCCGAAAAGCTGAAGCGTTTCAAGAGTGCTTGTTGATCTACACTATCTATTTGCGTGATACATAATGAAATGAATGAGTAAGAGCAGTAAGAATTTTTCCGTCTTAAAAGAATGAAATCAAGCAGTCACAAAGAGAGTACATTGCGCTTTTCGCCAAAAATAAGTATAAAATGTTGCTCATTGTTGTTGTGTAGGTAAAATTAATGTAAAAATTATATATTTTTTGTGTTTCTAATAACTTTCTTATGCTATTTTTAGAATTATAGGCTGTCTTGAAGAAATTTTTCATCATTCTCGACCAAAATTTTTTCTTATCATCGATAACGTCTATTAATTGACTTACCTCGCTTCTGTTTTTTCTTCTCCTTCCTCCTTTGTCTTGTTTGCACATCACCAGACATTGTTAATGATTTTAAAGTTCAATAACAGCTTAATTCATCTACTTTCAAGGAACTGAATTATGAGAGTGTTATTTTCTTCTCAATTTCCTCACAATATCTTCCGTGTATCAAGTGCCTTTACTCTTTTTACGTGACATGTTCCTCTGCTTCATCTTATCTCTTATTTTTGTAAGATTTGTACAATATTCATTTAAATTCTACTTTATCGTACTAAACATTGAACTTTAGTAATTGATTTATCGATATTTAAAGGTCTTTCTAATCATACGAAATATCACGCGGAAGTTGAATGCTTATGTTAATTGTGCATCTCCAAGATGACAAAAGTACGAAGATAATATTATTAATATCTCTTTAAATAAGAAATGACAACTCGAGTTTTAAAACAAATATCATAGATTGTATTAGATTCTATCATAATAATTAATTCAGTGTATTCAAACATTAATTCTAAAGGAGTTTTAAGTTATAAAAGTGATCATATTAGAATCAAGACTTTAACGGTTTTTAAAAATTTTAAATTACAGAGTTTCCGAAGAAAATACAGATCAGAAATAAAAATTCATAAAAAATAGCAAATAGTTTAATTAAATAAAATGGAGACTCCTGAGAGATTGGATAATTGTCCAAGTACACCAGAATTAGATGTAGTTGACGAGGTACCATCCACAAGTTGTAATAATATCGAAGAAGCTCGTTTGACTCAGTTAAAACAGGGAAAAGGAATTTGTGTTATTTGTTATTCATCAATAAAGGAAGGAAAGAGGTGTTTTCCAGAAAGCTGTCTTCATATCTTTCATTTTGATTGCCTTCAGCGATGGTCTGAGCAAAAGAACCAATGTCCACTATGTAAAAAAGGTGAGTTTTAAGGCTGAAAAATTGAAATATTTACAAAAAATTCGAAACTGGATTTCTTTATGTATCTTTAGAGCATTTATGCTAAAATGTAAGTCTCCATATTTATTTTTTTCCAACTTTCTCATAATGTTTTTAGTATTCGACCAAATCATTCACAATATCAAATCAAAAACTGAATATGAAAGATATCCAGTTACAGTGTTAAGACAAGACGACTCAGCAATAGACTTAAGAGATTTAGTGTCATTTCCAGTAATTCCATTAAATTCCGTATTTCATCGAGTTGATTTTCTTACAACTCACTCACCTAGACGGAGATTTACGTATAGAACGAGATTTGAGGCCACTTTGGAACAAAATGAAAGAATTCAAGAACTTTTTGGATCGCGCGTAGATAATGATTATGCACGATTAACTCCTGCTGAATGGCGTAGATATATTTATGAAAGGAACTTATATGCACTACCACTTTCTGACTTGGCAGGTCGCTACCGTGAATGCAGCGCACAATTCTATAGGTAAGTCTTAAACATTTTTGCGAAAACCAATTGCTGAATTTCACTCATTTTACAGAGAAAATCCAGCACAAACACATCGTCTGATTCCATGGCTAAATAGAGAATTAGTTGTACTAATGCAAACAAATCAAACTACTCATATTCCACAAATTTTAGAAGATATGAGAGACATGCTGTGTCGATATGATATACAAAGTAGGAAAGTTAGAAAGTACTTCCAACGATATCTTCATTTAAAAACTGATCATTTTGTTCACGAGTTCTACAACTTTGCTATTTCACCCTACGATATTGTTGGATATGACAGGTAAACTATTTGATTCGTTTAAAATCTTTAAGACATCAACTAATCAAACGTTTCTTTGTAGACATGTTGACTATAATCCAAGAAATCAAAGTACAACAACGACAGTTGAAATATCAAGTTCCACAGATAGCTCTGATGGCGATGAAGTACAAGTCATAGATGTTGAGCCGATAATTAATGAAGAAGCATCTAATTCAGGTTCAAATAATAATGTTACAAATTGTACGACAGTAGTTTTGGAGACACAAGGTAGTCAAGAGGATAATTGTGTGATCACAGAAATTACCACATCGGAAAGCAATAATAATAATGATAGCAGTAGCAGTAGTGGTGGAATAATAGTAACGCCAACTATTATAGAATCTAATCCTGTCATTCTTGAAAGTAGCTCAGATAGTGAATGTGAATTTGTGTTGGCATTAAAACCACCACATTTGCGTACTCCTGAAATGATGAGTCTCGATTCAGCTAGTGATAGTGATTGTATTTATATTCCAAACCAACCGACAATGGTAACTCGTGTTGATTCGTCAACAACAGATAGTGAGGATAATAAACCTCTCGCGGAGACGAAGAAACAACTTAAATCAGAGGTTGATGAAATGAAACCTTTAATACAAGAGTTTAATGGAATTTGTGAGGGAAAGAATCTTGATGATTTTGATGAAAACTTAATCAATACTCTATGTGAACCATCGACGTCTAAAGCTTTAGAGCAACAGCAGGCAAATGGAAATACAGTTAAGAAAATTTATTTTGCACCTAAAAGGAAAAATCTCTCTGGCAAGAGTATTTTTAGTTCAAGTAGTTCTAGCAGCACAAGTAGTAATTCAGGTGAAAGTGAGGATGAATGGGAAACACTACAAAATGGAAAGACAAAAAGTAGGCGAAAATTGACAGCTAAAAAATTAAAGAAAATGCGTTTATCCACTTCCAGTAATCCAAAGCCATTGAGCCAATTACAAAGTTCCGAAGAAGCCACACACATTAATGATGAAAATGATGTCGATAAACCACGAATAAAGAGCGTAATTATTAAGAAAACAGATAATGCACATTACATACAAAGAATGACATCAAGTAGCAGTGACTCAAGCTCGGACGTCGAATAATTTTAAAAACTTAGATTAATTTAAACTTAAAGTGTGAGTTTAATAATATTTATGACGAATCCCTTTTTTCACATAGATCCTAAGGATTTCATGAACATCCAAAGGGTAAAATAGTTGAAAATTAAGTGTAATTACAACTTACTTCAGTCAAAATAACTGTTTGATATAAAGGAAAGATGTCGGATGTTCTCAAATAAAGCCGCATCAACAATTACACCAAAGATACTTTTCAGAGCAGATTTAGAGTTCTGCTAAACCTTTAAGCAACCACCGATAGTTTCGAGACCAGAGTTTTATATCTGCTCGAGACAAGTTGTTTGGAAGTTAATTTTATTCTGCTAAAAATTCAAGCTATAGTTTCTTAAGTATCAAAATAAAGTTTGTCATAAATTCTAATACGAACGGGGCGTATTCGGAGGTTATTGAGTTTGTTTTGTTTGGACTGAAAATTTAAGAGGGGTTTGAAATATTTTCGTATGTCAAAACCTCAAGCAAACATAAAGGGGGGAAGGATTCTGTAGCTGTAACACATGTATTGTCCGTCGTATTATGAAATCCTTACCAAAGTAAGTTGTATTTTTACATTATTTCAAACTGTTTAGCCCCTTGTGAACATCTATTTTAAAGAATAAGGACATATGTACAATTTACATAAGAATTACCTCTTTTCATGTTCATAAATTAATGTAAAAGAATGAAAATCAAATAAAAAAATAGAATAAATAAAAGAGAGAGAGAGAAAGAAAGTTAAGGAAATAACACAAGTAGTTTTATATTGTCAAAATTATATGCATGGAATAAGATAAATGTATAAAAAATTGTTTCTTTATTGATTTTGTAATTAGTAGTACCAATAATAGAGTATTATAAAATAACAGTTTCATTATTATCACAAAATTCACTAAATAGTGTATTGTCAAACGTAATATTATCGAGCGAGCTCCTTCGTCGATTAATTTGCCTCAAAAATGAGTGCTCCTGATCAATAATCTCTTTAACATTGTTCATTTCAGACTTTAGTTCCTTATGAATTAATTCAAATTTGCAGCTTGTTCGAGTGAAACTCTCAACACATTGAATGTCATTTATTGCATGATCTTTAAGCGATTCAAAATCACGATCGTTCCTGAATTTTCTTTTAGGCGTTGATGCCATACTGATTTTACATTCATCAATTTCCATTTCATGGAATGACCTTTGTTCTTTTGATATGAAGACACCTGAGTCATTATCATTATGATTCTCAATTATAAGGAACAACTCATCTTCTGTGTCTGTAACAACTGCATTATTCCATCGAGACATACTTGGTAGTGTCGATACACCGTCATCACATTGTGCAATTTCAAAATCAGAATTTTCCGAGCATGGTTCAAGATAGAAATGATTTTGTGGATGTTGATGATGATTGATCTCGTTCAAGTGTTTTTGAATCATCTCGCCTTGCTGAAGGACTTTTTTCAGTAGCTTTTTAATTCCATTCTTACGAATCTTCTATAAATGATTTTTTAAAGAAAATAATTTTCATAAATTCTCATTTCCATTAATATAATTTATGTGCCTTTACCTTATCCTTTGCTCGATACTTTTGCTCATTCTCTCTCATTTCAATTTCAAATTCTTTATTTATTTTCAACCTAAATTGTACATCGCGTCTATTATCGCCCCAGTTTTGCCAAAGCTCATAAATCAGTTCGTCTCCAGCTAATGCATGCTCAATATCTTGGAATCGCTCATACAAAATATAATGTGACGGGTCACAAATTAATTGTTTACTTGCTTTCGTGTTGGCCAATTCGTCATCGATCAAAGCTGTTCATTTTGGAATAAAAAAAAATATGAATAATAATAAGTACGCAGGATGAATAAATATTTAAGTGGAATAATTAATATTCATGAGTTAGAATTGTATGTTTACAGCAGTATGAATAAGTGGACTTTTTTTTTTGAAGGAATTAAATAGTGGAAAAAGGGTGAGAAAATGACGTTGATGAATTCATATTTCGACTCAGCTTACCTTTTATTATGTCATTGCAAGTTGTTCGTCTATTAACTCCTGATATATAACGCGGAACTTGATTTATGTAAATGGGAATTTCTTCAGTCAGTTCACTCTGTGAGGCAATTAAGAGAAAATGAATAATTTTAGTATGGCTTTTGATTTATAGTTGACATTTTAATTAGAACAAGGAACTTTAATGGACATTTAATTTTGCCTAGCTAGTTTAAATTTCAATGATTAGGGCTAAAAGAAATCAAATTTATGCCAAAAAGCCTTGTCCAAAGCTAATGAATAAAAAATTTCAAATAAAATTTCTGTTACTATACAAACCTCATTATCGCTATTATCTGATGACTCTTCCTGCACCGAAATTGGACTTAAGCGTTCTGATGTTATCGATTTAATATCATCATTTATTAAATTTATTAATGTTGAGTTTTGTGTCGGTGCCATAATTCGTTCATTTCTGAAAATAAAAGTGAAAAAAATGAGCTAACAATACAACGAACTATAGTTATTAAATCAATAATGAAATATGTTGTATGAGAGTCTCCACAATTTCTTATTTTTCATTCGCTATTTTCCTTCCGCAGAAACTATAATATAAAATGATTTTTCCTTTTTAATGGAAAACCTGCGATTTTTTTTCTTTTGCATGCAAAGTCAAAGTTTTTCTTTTATTTTATATCAGTTTAGTTTGAAAAGAAAGACTGTTTAGCAGTCTTTTTTGCCTTTATGTAGCTTTATGTTATTCAAAAAATAAAAATATAATCGTGAAAGCGACCATGATAATAAAATTTATTCCGCTATATAGCTATAAGTTGTAATAGAAAATTTATTTTTCATAGAATCTGATATTTTTCCTTTTTTTTGTACAATAAATATAAACTTGTAGGTATATCCGTAAATATAGATGTGTTGAAATATAATGGGAAATTTAGGTGGTTTTCCTACTAACCCCCACTAATATAATCACACTCCTTTTATTCCACGCTTCTAATGCTTTCATTTCTCGACTTTTCAGGGCATTAATGCGTTTTATTGCGATTCATTTAATTTGCCTGTTATTTGCGGAGTAGGAATCAGACTATTAATAATGTCAGTATATTCAAAGGCATATCCAGAACAGAAGTTTGTTTTAGGGATAGAACTGAATCAGGAGTATCAAGCTATAGTGCTCGAACAAGTCATTTTCAGTCAAGGAAACATTAAAAGGATTCACACGTTCTAGATATGCCTTGACGTAGATGTGCGACTTCTGACTTAATAGCAAGAAACATTTAGTCTAAAGGTTTATATCACATGCATGCACTAATGTTTGTATTCTATCCTTTAGACAATTTTAAACATTTTTAAATACACAAAAACGTTAAATGTCTGTACATGCATTGAATTAACGGATATATGCGTATACCATTATTCGATCAAACAGTCTCACACAAAAATGTTCTCCTCTTTTTTCTAGCAATTTTCCTTTTTTTTTTGATTTCATCATCGACAACATAAAAAGCTCATGCTTAAAATAGAAATTAGCATTGATTTATTTTTATTGCATGCAAGAAATCATTTTATTATTGACGATATAAAGTCGACCCCCCTAAGAATGAAAACTTCCGTGGTTTTCAAGCAGTAAGAATATTTTCATTTTAACTCAAAACTTCCGACTTAATCATTTTCATGGCGACGAAAAAGTTTTTCCTTTCTTTGTTTTTCTTTTTTTTTGTTTCGAATTAAAAAGGAATTTTCTGTATTCATGCAAACATTTATCATGCACACGAAACATGCATATAATAAAAAAAGCATAATTATGTTTTATTTTTGCACAAACTAAACATCAAGAATATAAAAGTTCTAAGTGCTTATCGCTTTTCTGCGATCATTTTGTGAACAGTTAGTAAACTATAAAGTTATTTCCATAAAACATCAAACAAATTTAAAAGTCATCAATTGTAATGACTATAGCGCTTTTCCTTCCGACTTATCGTGATGAAAAGATTTCAGCTGAAAGCAACGGACTTAGCAGTTGCTTTAAATTCAGACGCATGGTAATTTCGATGCTTTTTATTTGTCCTTAATAAGGGCCTGTTTATCACAGCTTCAATTAATTTTTTTATTCACAATTAATGACACTTCCAACTCGGTCACAAAGTCAATCAAATTAAATGCCTAGCAGTATTTATATTTCAACAAAATAAGCTCAACATTTTTACGATTTCCCTTTGGAACATTAAATTATGTAATTGGTGGATTATAATTAACGGAACAGAATTAGATCGCAAGTCATTGTTACAGTCATTCAAATAGCGACAAGAAAATTGCACTTTTCCACCACTAATTTCACACAAAATTGCCATTTAATTAGCATCTAAAAAGACCTATTAATTAGGCGACTTTATTTTGTAATATAAATATGGGTCGAAAATGGGGATCATTCATAAATAACGTACGTCAAAAATGGACACACAATCACTAAAATTTGAGCTTCAGAGGTGTCTGATTTTGTAAAAATTAGACATCGTTTATAAATAATCCCAACGTAAGTAGAATGAACTCAAAAAGTCACGATTGTTAATCTGCTTCTTTTACAACGATGAAAAATCTTTCTCTCGCTTATGAAGTTAAAGACAATGGAAGTTCCATTTATTTATGTTTTTGTAAAGCCTAATGAAATATTTTAATTACATTAATTTTAAATTTTCGAGCATCTTCTTTTCTACCTTTAATCAATTATGTTTGTCCAAAAAAAAAATAAGTAAGGTGGTACCTTTTAAAAGTACGGAAATCAGAGTATGAACTACACACACGTGCGAATTTGAATAATGAATAGGAGAGAAATATTTTTAATAATAATTATGTAGAGAAGTAAGTAAGTAAGCAGATCAGTAGTTGATAATAAACTGAAATTGAAAATTGAAAGTTAAATCGTTATAAGCAGCATAAAAGAAACAAAAAATAATATTCATTGAGCGATTATTTCATTTCATTTGTTTTATTTTTATATTTTTTTTTGTGGTAATTTTTCGCACAATTAAGACATTTTTTTTATGTATCTTTTTACGTGTGTCTCTCTCTCACTGTTGGTCTTACTCAATTGTTTTGTTCGGTGGAAAAATTCTTTCTTATTTAACATTTGAACGGTGCGCGCTGAGCATTTAAAAAATCGTTGTTGATGTTTAAAATGTCGGCTTTTTATTGTAACGATTAAATTATGCAATCGGATTAAGGGTAAAGAAAAAAACTATAATAAAATAAGTGGCAATTGTTATGGATAGCAATGGAATTGAATCATTTTAAATTATTTGGTAATTCAATTGTAGTACTGAGTGAAGATCAGCAGCTCATCATTGAAATTTCGTTCACTAAACTAGGTTCATTTACCCGATTTTTTTCGCACAGACATAGCCATCCACATCAACAATAATTTCTGCGACTTCTTAGTTCTCGTTTTAATGAGTCGCAGAAGCGAAAATGTCAATGAATTTTTATGTGGTCGGTTTTGAAAGACAAGGCATCCAGGTATTTTCTCATGGTTGGATTGCATGCATTACTATCATTTTTTCACTGTCTACATACAACAAATAGGGTTGCAATCCCACCTTTTTTAATGTTCTTCACAGCTGACACTGTCGATCGTCAAATAATGGCACCAAAAGATCCACAGAAGCAGATAAAATAAAACTGTGAATTCTCCAAGTGCCAAGATTCGTCCAATCGCATTAATATCCAATATAATTAATGTCATCAATGGATTTTGTTGATTTTTCATGTGTGAGTCATGAAATTTTTATTCCTCGTCCAAAAAAACTTCTGTGTTAATGTCATAGAAATGAACTTTTTTTCGTGCTCATTACTTTTTTTCATTTCCATTCTTTCTCTATCTTTATCGTTCCAAATGATATATATATTTTCAAAAAACACGAACGGAAGCAATGAGTATTTTCCATAATATGTATAATACATCTAATATGTGATTTTCGTTTTGTGATAAAAACCTCCTGCCCGTAACCTCCTAATTTGATACTCCTAATATGTAGATTGTTGACTGAATTTTTGATAACTTTTGATAGATGGAAATTTTCTAAAGTACACTTTAATTTTTCGTTTCCAATTCCATTCATGCATGTTTAATGAAGGCAAGAAAACTCTTTTTTGTGGCCCTCTTCTTCACTGCGTGTACAAAAATAGATGGAATCGATGAATTTTTTATTTCATCGTTTTGTGAATTACTCGAGATTAGTAAAAAAAATTCTAGATCCATGCCTTCATGCTAATTATGTGTTTTATGCTTTTGCTTTCATGAAAATTCCAGATATTTCTCTAGTTTTCTTTACCAAAAAATGCTTAATCTCATTTATTATTAATGTGAATATTTCATTAACTTTCTGTCTATTCAATTTTTATTAGACCTATTCAAAAAAACTTATTGAGTCTTTATGTTTTTGATCAATTGTAATACATGTGATAAATTTTTCTTTGCTATAATTTTACTCAATACGTATTTTGCAGATTAGCATTTATCACTAACGATCGCTGTTATGCAATTGCGTTTAGCTAATACTTTTTGGATATTACACAAGCTTTTTGCGGTAATCTTTCAATATATAGCTGGAAATGCAATTTTTAAGTTAATCCATCGGAAGAAATTTTTAAAAATTGACCTAGCTCATTATTGGCTTTAATAACTGTGAATTTTGTCAACATGAGGAAGTTTTCTCTGTTTTTGGGCAGCATAAATTGACATATTCTCTTAATTTCGACAAATTCCCGAGAAAATTCATACCGACAGCCATAACTTGGCTGGATTTAATTTATTGAAAATTTTATTTTATGAAATGCATCAACCCTGAAAGATTCTGGGTTATTAAAGTGACTAGCTCAAAATTACCCTAGCCTGATATGTTATATTAAAGCATACTCCAAATAAATTTGACATTAAACCTCGTTTCCACCTATTTCCAACATTAAGTTCAAATTATTTAAATTATAATTACGAAATGTCGCATGTACTTAAACATGCCGGTACGACAAAACTATCACGTATTGATTCGTCTGTGTCACGAAATAAATTGTAATGAAAAAAAATTGAATGTTGTTCAATGACCCAAGTCTGTCGAATTGATGGAAAAACTTCTTGAAAATATGTTTTTTTTGTTTAAAAAAATAGATTTTCTGGTGAAATCTAGCACGAAACCAAGTTTAAGGTTTTGCATTGTACTTAATACTTTCAATTTTTATAGTAATAGAAATAAATGTGAAATCGTCTCTATGACATAATAAAAATCGAAACTATTATTTTTTTAAACAAAAAAAAATTTAACCAAATTCATGAACTTCATTCAATGGCAATTCAGTAGCTACTTCAAGGTAAAACTTTCCCTAATATTGCCTCGGCAAAACATAACACAGACAGTTTTTTTTATATCCCTAATCATTCTAAAAATGCATTCATAGTCATTACGAAAATCAACTCGGACAACGAGAGCATGACAGAATATTATCATTCATTTTCATTCCCTTTCTTTATTCCATTGAGAACAATAATGTGAAAATGTGCCCATAAAATGGAAGAAAAAGAAAAAAATTCTCAGCAATCCAAACGAATACAACAAGCTAACCCATCCAGCCAGTCTATTTAGTATATATACACATTTAATTTTATGTTCTTCTCTCGCGCTGTTCGACCGTAGCTTATCAAGTATAATTTTTATGTCATATTTAATGAAAGTAAG